TTATTGGCTCAATTTTTTCGATTGTTTCGATTGCTTCAGGAGACTCGATCTCTTCAATTTGTTCATTTGATTCAAGTGGTTCGCTTGATACTACACGTTCGATCGATGGTTGCATTTGAATTTGCTCAATTGATTCGACGGTTGGTTCAATTTTCTTTTCGTCGACACGTTTGATGGCCTCAATTTGAATTGGTTCCATTTGAGTTGGCTCTGTTTGAATTGTTTCGGCTTGAATTGGTTCCGTTTGAATCGGCTCCGTTTGAGTTGGCTCCGTTTGAATTGTTTCGGCTTGAGTTGGTTCCGCTACTGTTTCAATTTGAATTGGCTCAACTGATTCTATCGGCTCCATTTCCTCGATCGGTTCGATCATTTCAACAGTCTTTGTTCCTTCGATCGTTGGTGAAGGCGATGCCGGCGAAATATCTCTCTGGACATTTGAAACGATGACCGAAAGTTCAGTTTCTTTTTCGTCAATCTTTGCTTCCACTTGAGCTTCGGGCTCAGCCACCGATTCAACTTTAGCGTCAGTCTTAACCTCCGCAACGTCCTTCTCATCGTGCATTTCGATCACGGAAATTTCATCATTTTCATTCTCATCATCGAAGTCAACACTGATCGTCGAATACTTTTCATCGGAATCGGACATTTGGTTTTCTTCGTCCTCATCTTCATTGAAAACAATTACGGCGATTTCTTGCGACTCATCGGTGGTCGATTTGTCTTTTGCCTCTCTGTCTTTGATTTTAACAATGACGGAGAATTCTTTGTCGGTCGTTCTCGAGCTACTTGAATGACGACTTTCCAAATCTTCCATCGATTCAACGGTTTGTTCGATTATTTCAACAGTGTCGTCCTCCGGTTTCGGCGCTTCAGCAATTTCTTCACTATGGTCCATTTTTTCTATTTCTCTGGCTACTTTTGGTACTTCCTGAGTCACAATCTCATGTGTTTGTTCAGTGCTTTCCACTTCAGCTACCGTTTCTTCCATTGCAATTGGTGCTATGAGCTCTTTTTCTGGCTTCATTGACTCATCGTCAAGAATTTCGACTGTTTTTACCTCATCCTTGATTTCACTATCGATGGCTTTTGATGTTTGTTCCGATGAATCCAAGTCGACCGAATCATCTCTCGACATGAAGTCTTCCGGTGAGTCAATCACTTCGATATCCATGTGCAATGGTTCTGTTTCATCTGTAGCCAAATCATTTGGTGGTGGTTTTTCACCGATTGGTTCAGATAGTGGCATATCGATACTCTTCGGTTCTTTGCTAATGGATGGAATTTGTTCAGCTTGAACCGCGCATTCTTTATCGACTTCGTCAATTGTTCTAGGCTCTTCATCGATTTTGCTTTCGCTCTTCTCTTCTGTTGTTCGTTCGACAATTTGATCCAATGGTTTTGTCGGTGTTTCATGTGTAACAGCCGTTGTTTCTCGTTTTTCCTCAAGGAGCGATAGCCGTTTGGAGCGACGCCGTGGAACCGGTGAGCGTTTATTTTCAATCGGCGATGCTGCTCGAATGGATTCGATTTTGGATTGCACTTGTTCGGATTCATTGGATGCATTAACAGTGGTGGTCGTTCTGGTAATAATGTCTTCAGTGGAAGATAATGCATTCGCTTTTTCTTTAATCTCATCAATTTCTTGAATCAATTTGTTTACTTCGAACCCCATGTGAGTCAGATCCTCTTTATCTTTGGGCACATTGCTCGTTTGTACCTCAACAACTGGTTCCGGTTGTTTGGTCGCACTTTCGGGTGTTTCGCTCGCAGATGCTTTACTGTCTGCTTCCACTGGAGAATCGATAGCAATATCGGCAGCTTTAGTTTCGTCTACCGTTGGAATCACTTCAACAATTGTCGCGGGTTCATCGTGTAGCTTTTCACTCGCATCCGCAAACAGAACCACTGTTGTTTCGTGCGATTGATCGGCTTCGGTCACATCATGCTTTGCCATGTATTTGTGATCGTCTTTAGCGGGCGATTCAATTGCGATTGGTTCACTACTACTTGATTTGATTTCTGTCGTAAGCGTTTGCTGTGGAACTTGATCAGTCTGTTCGGTTGTCGTTGGAGGCAATGGAATTTCAGTCAATTTCTCTGTAATACGCGTTTTATCTACCGAAGCGAGCAGTCTTTCTTCACAAATTGACGACGACCTCGTTACAAATGGTGCGATACGTTTACTAGGCTCATTGGTGTAGGGTTTATTTGCACTGCTTGAAATGGTTAATCGCCGTTCATGAATCGGTCGCATGCCATTGAATCGGCGCACCACCGTAAACGATGGCTTCGATTGATTGGTATCAACTTTTTTCGTTGGATCACAGTACAAACCGTCCAAGAAATTATCGTAATGGTCACGTGTCTCTTGACTTTCATTGGTAAAATCGATAAGTGAATTGGCTCTCGTTGATCGTTGAATAAGTCGATGAGCTACACGAATTTTAGATGCTAATTTCGTTGATGTAGACAACGGCGATGTGAGCGGTGATTTTGTAACGGTATTTTCATTCGTTGATGTCGATGGTTGTTGTTCGGCTTTATTTTCTTCTTTTTTCTCCGTCACTTCCATTGGTTCGGTGTCGTCGACTTTGTCAACCGATTTTGGTTCATTGTCAGCCGTTGATGGCTTATCGGTAGTGCTATCGGTGTGCGTGGAAATGGTCAATTTCTCCGTTTCGATGATAATTGTTTCGGTGGTCCTCGATGCACACTCTTCATCCACTATTTCGACCACATCCTCGCTCGTTTCCATCATTACTTTGCTGTCATCAACACTTTGTACATCGGACGCAACCTGTTGTACCTCAACATCGTCCACTTTCGACTCATCATTTTTCGTACGCACATCTGAAACAGAATCTGAAATAATGTCATCTGGTTGTGAAACTAAATCATCCGTTTTCGGCGCCTCTATCGATTGTTGTTGCTGCTGCTGCTGTTGTTGTTGTTTTCGTCGATAGTCTTGTTCAAAGTATGGCGACGCAGATCTAAATTTATATGTGTTATCGTTAGTAGGCGTTGCTGTGTTATTTTCAGTCGATGAAGACGACGACGTATCAAGCACAGAGCCGCGCTTGGAACGACGCCGCGGTAAAATTCGTCTTTCAACCGATGGTGAGGCCGTCAATCGAATGGATTCGATTTTGGATTGAAGCTGATCGGTGTCACTAGAATCAAGATGTGTATTTTTGACAAGAGGACTGGAAGATTGTGCCGGCGCACTTTCTTCGGATGAAGCGAAAGTAGGCGGGGATTCACATGTCGCGTAGTTACTTTTGATTGCGTCTAGTGGTGATTGTTTTGGATCACAGATAACGATACTATCACAAGCCTTGGCTTTAACATGAGTGCTAGAAGTGAGGTTGGTTTTGACATGTACTAATTGATTTGTACCAAGTGCAGTTGCAGAGGCGACCGCAGCAGTAGCAGCCGCACTGCTATGACGCGAAGACACATTTGAACATTGCGCTGCACTTGGTTCGGACTGGCCATCGTGGTCTTTTTTACTTGGCTTATCGAATTTATCATCGACAAAAACAGACATGGGAATTGGAGTGGATTGTTGCAATGATGCAAATTCAACATTTGATTGACTGATGATGGACGTTTCATTCTGATTGCCACTCTCTGTCATATCGACCGAACTGTCGGAATCGAGTGAAACGGTTTCGCCGCCGGAAATGGCAGTCGAATGTTGCTTTTTTCGATTGCTGGTGGAGGGTAGATTTGCATTGATTGCCGGCGATTCATCAATCACAACATCACTATCGGAAATGCTATCGCTTAGATGCTGACGGAAGCTACTACTACTTGACGCATGCTTTGAATCACTGAAATACGATGACGAAAACATTAGATTTTCTTTTGGTTCGGGCGATTTCAAGCGTGACCGATTACTTTGAGATTGAACCAGCGATGATGTGCTTGCCGAGAAATTGGCATTCTCATCGAAACTTTGTAAGCTATTATTGCGACCTGATTTTGGCTCATCGACAATGATAATGTCATCATCATCATCGATGTCATCATCATCATCGTCGTCGTCGTCTAGATTTGCTTTGTTGCTTGTGTCGCTTGTTGTGGTTGCTACTTTAAAACTATCCCTATTATCGTTATTAATATTAAAAGTACTAGAACTAAATGAACTTCGATTCAATGTTGAGCTACTGTTCGGTCCAGCTTCGTTCAGCTTGTGCCTGTGTTGCAGAAGTAGTTGCTGTTGTTGCTGTTGTTGCTGCTGATTCAGTTGCCTGATGTCGTTTAATGACTGTATCGAAGTTGGCCGTTTATTACCCGAATCATGAGTACTAGGCGTTGTTGTTTTCTGTGGCAACAAAATAAATCCTCTATTAGTTTCAAGTAAACCAAAACGAGTGGTTAATTACCATTTGAATTTTGTTACCGATCTTTTTTTCTTTCAATTCTTAATTCGATTTTTTTTTTTTTTTGGTTTGTGATTGCGGTAAATTCAAATTGCTTGTCTTTTACTTAATTAAAGTTATCAACATTTACGTTACGCTTAATTTAATTGTCAAACTTATATCTATTGATCAAAAATTCGGCTTGGGAAAAAAGTTACGTTTTCATTTTAATTTTACTCAAATCAAATCAAATCAAATCAAATCAAATCAAACTACGTTTTGGTTTCAATATTGGCAAATTTCAATGATTCTTCTTTAGATATTATGACATTTCTTTTGGTATTTTTTCTTTGTGTATCTTCATTGTGTAGACCGATGGCTCAAACTACTCAAACTTGACTAGGAAATCAAAATTAAACATGATTCCAAGCAACTTGTTTCCAGATGTTGTGATTTGAAATCAGTCACATGATACCATGAATGTTTTTTAAATTCCTACCAAGTGATGAGAGTGCAACATCAGCGAAAACGTGCAAAAATCGCTTTAGCACGCTTTCCTTTTCTTTTATCAACCGGCTATTATCACCCTAACTCTGCTCAAAAATTCACAAAAAACGTAATCTCAATCGGTTGATTCGAATTGGAGACAATGATAGATGAAGTAGAAAATAATCAAAATTTCCAAATCAATTATTCTCATTCTTCGGTGTATTTGTCATCAATTTGAATCATTCTCTTGAAATTGGTGTCCTAGGAATGTGTTCGAGCCGTTACGAGTTAAAGGAGTAGCTTCGGCGAAATTGATAGTAGTGCTCGATGATATGTTGATTGGGCGATGATGAGTTGATCGAAGTTTTTGTTTAGTGACATTGTTCACAAAGAGAAAAGTATACGCACAACGAAATGCATTTGTTTGAATAGGTATTTGTCAATACTGAGAGGAACTTTCGGTGCAGAATAATTTTCTCTTTGCGAATTAACACTCAAAATATTTGTTTTTTCTTTCAACAATATAGTTTATACTTTACAAACCTTGCCTTACATATTTTTATCGACTTTCACATAATCATTACAATGCTCTGCACTCGGGCAATGCAATAACCATGCGAAAATATGTAAGTATAGTACTTAACCGTAAGATTTTGGATACTGAAACTAAGCAAGTAAAAACTCACCCCGTTGGGTAAACCATTATCGGGAAATTGAAAGACAAAGCGGTCATATTCGCGAAAGAATCTGGGTATGGCATCGACCACGTCGATTTTCGTTTTGAACAATTTACTGTTATTGGTGGCGGAGAAAATGGAGAAATAAAAATTAATCATGTGATTTATGGAAAATGTAGGTAATGGACGAGTGAAATTTCAGATGTAAATGTCATACCAAATCGTCCATCTGAGTCGATAAGCATGATTGAATCGATCGTCGACACGATGCATAAAGTCAATGAAGTACTTGTCAAGCTTTTGTGGCATTCGTCCGAAATTCTCTCGCAGCGACGTTAGCGCTTTATATGTGTGCTTCTTTGTGTCTTCCTTTCGCGTACACATCTGCAGCCAATGTTTGTAGAATAATACTGCTAGGATAATTATCAAAATTTCCGGAAATGTTTGGTGCTGTTGCCGAAGGACCAGCTCATGAGTCTTATCGAATAGTGGATACAGTACGACATCCAGTTTGTAATCTTTTGGATCAGTTCGCAGTAGGATCATAATTACTTGAACGAAATTTGAGCCAACAAACGTATCGATTTGTTGCCAAATTTCCTGGCAGATTTCCAGCACTTGCTCTTTGCCCAGCAACTTGTTAGCGGCCGTTTTGCGCGCCCGAAAATTGATATATTTCCCAAGTATCCGGGTGACAATCAAATTGAATTTTGCATCGGCTCTTAGCTAAAAAGAAAAACCGAATTGAAATGGGCATTTTGGAGAGAGGGAGAGAGAGAGAGAGAGAGCGAATGAAAATGAACAACAGCGCATTTCACATGCGATTATGAGCTAAATAAAAAAGAAAAGTATACATACGTCAATGTGCTTTTTGTGCGCAATACGAATGAGACTCAGTTCGTCCAGCACACAGCTCCATACTTTTGTTTCGGTTGTGAATGATACGTTTCGCAGGCAGCTGTTTAAATGGTTTTCCACTTCGATAAGCAATTTGTACGAGAATTCCGTTGGTGGTTTTAGATTGGTGCCAAATTTGATCTCATGACAGATTTTTTGTATTGGGCTAATAAGTAGGTCCTCCTCTTCGTGATCGTCGGGCACATAAACGACATCTTCTTCCTCTTTGGAATCGGCGATTTGCAACTCTTGTAGCTTTTGTAATTCTTTATCTTTTGTTTGCTGTTGCACCGATGCCAATTGCTGTCGTACGGATTCCGGTACAACGTTAAAATGTTCGTACACATTGTAATGGTAGCCAATATGTTTGGATTGTTGTTGTTGCTGTTGCTGCTGTTGGTTTTGTTGTTGTTTGGTTTTGGCTGTTTTCGAGGGGCCATCCTCGCGTTCGTCGTCATCGCTAATGTAAACCACTTCGGAATCCATGGTACTGTTTCTAACGACGTCTTCACACTGTGCCATAACACCACAACAAGCGTTGTCATTAAGTCTTGGGTGGAAGAAGCACGCCCGCGAAACAGAGTCAGCGACACAGAGATAGAGATGGGAAAAAGAAAGGATAAAAACAACAAATTAATTTTCTATTGAAACATACACAAATGAAAATTAAATGAACCGTTTTTATGCATGCATGACCGAATGGACACATGTGTTTTTTTTTTCTGCTGCTACTACTATTTGCCAATGTATAAAGCAGCAAACAAACACAAGCACATAAAAACTCGATGTATTTTTATGATTTTTTTATCTCTCTCAATATACCAAGCAATCAGACGTCACGAATGCATACGTGCAAAAGTACCATGCAACGAACGGTGCATGTAAATAGTATCTGCACACGCATACACACACACACACCGAGCAGAAAATACGTTTATGTGCCTGGTCAAACTATGAAGGAAAAAAAAACACCGAAATTGTGTATTTTCTCTCGACGGAACTGTATTAGGAGCGACGCCATCTACTCTATATCAAATCTGTGTGTTGTTGTTTTTTTCATCTTATTGTGGAGCACAAGCGCAATTACCGAACCAACACACAGTCTATTTACATTAATAATGAAAGAGGAGAGCTCGGCTCAAGAGAGCCACCGTCGCACACATGCATGCGAGCATTGACAGAAACATGTACATACATGACTATACTTTGCAACGATATGTTACTACTACTACGCACACTACACACAACCGAACCAACACTGAACTGTTCACTGTGCTGAAGGCAAACCGATTCGCTCACTTTTTCTATTACGGCAGCGCTTTAATAGTATTTTATTCCGAATGCATTATGTACACCTTCTGTCAAATGTATGGACGAAAAAAATAACGTACGATGAAATGCACTAATTTTCCACTTTCTTTATACTATTTGATATTTTATTATTATTATTATTATTATTATTATTATTATTTGGAGTATCAGCTGCGTCTTTGTAGACAAAGTTGTTGCTATTCCATTTTTCACTACTACTACTACTACTTCTTCTTTAAGTTGGATATTGTTTTCAAACTAAAGCAAGTGATTAGGAAGGGTTGCTATAGTCATGGAAAAAAAATGTTTTAGTCTATGCTGCATTTCCAGTTCTCTGCGAATAAAATTTTGCAAATTGCATCGAATCATCACACGAAAAATATGTACATCATTTTATACCTATTGCACCGAATACACACGCATGCACGTACACTTATAGGGAAAAATTGATTTTTTTTTTGATTGCTCTCGGTTCGAACTGTGTTGCGTTTTTTTTTTCGGCTCTGCCAAAGTTTCTTATGTTTGAATGGGTCCGTTTGATTCCAAGCGAGAAAAGAATAACTATACGGTTTTGATAGACAGAACCTTAATTCTATTTATTTCGAGAATGTTCATTTAATTGGAGAGCAATTAACTTGTCTTTGATTGTTATTTTATTTTTCCACATGAAAACGGCGCATTGTGAATTTTACATATTATTTTCTCACAAGAATAGAATATTGTTGAATCGAAGATTTTGCAAGACATCGAAGAATGTGGATTGTTACATTTGAAAGTGTACATGGTTTGGTGTGTATGTGTGTTTTATTTTCTGTCGAGATCAGTCTCAAACATAGCGGTCGCGAGAAAATTTCCCATTTTATTTCGTTTCAATTAACATTAATGCGACACACAGTCGTCCACACAAATACACATATACACACGCACACACACCGTAACATACACAGCTGAACATGGCTCTGTGAAACACTATTCTACTGAAAAGCCACTAGATTTTCACGTTTTCTGGAGATGACGATATATAGATGAGATTTTTTTTTCGGCCCAGCCGCGCGACCTTTTTTGGCGATGGTCATTGTGTTCTGTGATTCAAGTGACGAAAGAGAGCGATTGAAAGGCGAATTGGAAATGCGATTTGTTTAGAAATGCAGTCTTCTTAGAAGCGATCTGTCGGTACGGTAAATATGGAAAAATATGGCGGATGCTCGCACTGCGAACACTCACAATGTATGTGTGTACGTTCATATTTTTTATTTTTGTTATATTTTTATGTGTGTTCTTACGTTAGATTTGTGTGTTTCTTTCTTTCTGATCTGGTACTAGACTCTCTACAAACATTATAGCACAAACATCATCATCATTATCATCATCGATGATGATGAAAAAACTTACTATAAACTTCATTAGGTGAATGCGAAAGCGAGAAAATGGCAATTGCGAACAAAATGTGGTAGAAAGAAGATAAAAAAAGGTTTTAAATAAAAGAAAGAAGCGAAAAAAATAACACACACATATATATATGCGCTCTCCGTATTGTGAACCCAGAGCTCTCAAACTCAAACAACACACAATGTGTATAGAGTATATGCATATCGATGGGATATATATATTACCAAATACATATACATATTCAGGTCAACCCAACCTTTCAGACAATTTTACTTATCATGTTTAGTTTCGGAAAATATACCAATTCCACACACAAATGATTTACACATGTTTAATTAATGGCAATTTAAAGGTTTTTTTTGCTACTTACGATATTTTTAATCGACATTATTACAACAAATAATTCCGAAATTTGATGACTCGACTTGGCCTTTTCCACTGCTAGCCAAATACTTGAAACATTATTGTTCGACGACTGTGTTATTTTTTTTTCTTCTTTTTCTCTCACTTAGTATGGGCAGAGTCTACGAACAAACGAACGACGATGATAATGAATCTGAATATATGTAGACTGTAGAGAGAAACACACACACTGCGCTTTGACTGAGAAATTAAAAGCAAAGAAATTCTCAACCTTCTTTTTCTTCTCTCTCTCTCTCTCCCTTTTTTTTATATATATATATATATAATTTTTTTTGTTTCACTAATATGTCCACTTTACGAATATTGAACAGCACAATTTACACAATATTTAGATAAATTTCATTTCCAGCACATTTTATTTCATTGAAACTAGCGATTTCGTTGACAATTTTCGATTGAAAATTGGTTTTTAGCCTAATTGAAAATTCACTCGCGTTTTTCGTGCCTTTAACACATACAAGAAATTCCATTTATGAACGGATTATACAGAGGTTATACCGTGCTCTCTGCGCAGCCCCACTAAATCATTCGAAAAACATTCGAAACAAAATGGCTGCGTAGACAGAATGCGGTTGAAATGTGCTGGTATTGCCGAACGTGATTTCACATCGGATACGTACACATTCCTTCGAACTGTACCGTTTCAATTGGCACACAAATTCCACTGGCTTTTATTTTCAATTGAGAATTTATTTGAAAGAAAAAATGTTTTGGTTTGAAAATTTGTTCAAAAACCAACCATTCGTTTGCGGGTGTATTTAAAATAAATTATATTGAAATGTTGTGCTCACTACCTTATGGTCACTACCACTCAGTATGAACAAACAAAGAAAACAAAACTATCTCCATTTGCTCATGTTAGTTATATCGACAAATTGCGTTTCATACCTTTTTCAAAAAAAAAACACTTTTCCGAATTTCTACTTCATTTTTGGCGAAAAAAAAATCATTTCGATTCGATTTCCATTAAAAAACGCGATATGTAAGTGCATTTCGAATCGGTTTGTTTTGACCTGCATCACGTTCAATCGGTTCGAACTAGCTAGAGCTGGCTCTCTCTGGTGCCGAATGCTCAAATCAATCGATGTGTTCATTGGTATTTTTATAGGAGTTATGTCAGGTCTGTTTGAAATTGAAAGAACATAAACAATAAGAAGAAGAAGAAGAGAAAGAGAAAAAAACAACAGCAGCCTATAACTTGGAACTGTTTGTTTTTCATCCAAATAGATTGTTAATAATTTGTCTAAGCATTAGAGTATATAAAATCAAGTACAAATGGATGAATCACAAAATCGTTCCAATAATAATTTGGGTGTGACGGACTCACCGCGCCACGGACCAACCCTATCAACGAGCACATCCAGCTTCGAAGCGCTCGAATCATATGATTCCGAACTGAGTCGATTGGCAACCAAAGCATTTGAGAAAACATACACCTATGTAACCCATGACATGAACTCATCGTTGGACGACTATAAACTGTTGGAGCAAATGAATCGGGCTTGCATTTCCAAATATTCAGACATGCAACAGATTAGCGAAAATTTAGCCACGTCTTCTATTCAGCTGAAGGAAAAATTTGATAATCTGGTACATGCCACTTTATTTGATGAAATGAAATGTAACCATGCAATTGATGGATCAACTAATTTTTCTCTTTTGATCTGCTTTGTTCCAGGTGCCGTACTTAGAGCAAATCGATGATATTGAAAAAACGGTGAACAAGCTCGAGGAATGTGCCTACCAATTGGATGCATATAGTCAAAAACTAGAACAAAAATTCAATAATATCACAAAAAAGAAATAGATTTTGGTTTTCTATATAAAAAAAAAATAACGTTGTTCAATGAACCGCTTCCGTTTTATTTATGTTGATAACTAATTAGACGAAGAAAAAAGGAAATACAAATTTAACATTTAAGGAAATTCAATTGAGTTGGTTTTAATTTGGTACGTCCATAGACAGCTAACACTACTATCCCAGTATTAGTTTTATCACAATCGCCAGGATGTTGAGGACAATAAGTGGAACTGAAAAATGAGAAACATGAAATGTTGATTAAGAATCGATCTATTTATCAATGATAAAAATTGTTGTGCCAAAAATTTCTACTTACTTTTTGCAACAGTGCGAATGCTTCGAACGATATTGAGGATTTGAGCCTTTGCCGTGGGTTCGCCAAAGCTTTGAGCCATACTATTTGCTCCCCAGCCAACTGAAACGAAAAATCAAAAAGAAACACCTAAATTTCTTCCCATTACAACCACCGGTAGCTATGAATGTTAAATTCAGTTATTTCGTGCAAATTAAATTACCTTTCGCTAGAAATCGTTCTTCATGCAGAATGCAAATGGCATTCAGGCACAGCATCGACGCTTCAATTAATGACCACAAAGTAAACATTTTAATTTAATTTAATTTTTCTGACAATTTAACAATCAAATTTGATATATTTTGCTCTTGACTTGAATGTACAACAATTTTTTGGTTACATGGCCAATTCTCTGTCGTTGACATTTGCCAAATATTGTTGTTCGAAAATTGTTTTGGTTTGTTCGAAAATCATCGTCAGAGCCACCATAGTTCGAAATTCGAAAGTGTGTGTTTTTTTTTGTTTGCATCGTATTCCCACTATTCTGCCTGTTTGAATAGTGAGTGTGTAGTTGCAACTTGATAGCGGCGCTGCGGTGTTTTGAAGTTTTGTGTGGTGGATTGGTTGTTCGTTTGTACTCTAACGTCAAGTAAATGTCAAAAGCTGAATACGGAATCTTTGTTCATCGCACCGAAAATCTTCCCATTTTTATCATTTATACTCGCATAATATAATTTACACACGTAAACGATGCCTTTGCAAAACTTGGTGAGTTATGAAAAATCGATTATTTCGCCGACATTTTTTCTCTCGACACTTCGATCGAACATTGAGATTGTTTCGTTTTTTTTTGTTGAGTGAATTGATTGTGATGAAAACGAAACTTAAGAAAATGCATCATCATGAAAGAAGGAAAAAAAACAAGCACCAACAAACAAATGTATTTAAGGATACACAGCCGACAAAACAAATCGAAGACGTTTTTTAACGTCTTAATGACTTGCAATACCAACCATTTTATCATAATTTTTCTTCGATCAATAGAATCCGATCGAACCGATGCAGGTGGATGCGCCGGCTGAAGATAATGAAAACAACGAAGAAGAGACATATTCCATTGAAAATCCGTCGATTGATTTGGATTTCTATGCAAATTCGTACACGGGTCTTGCGAAATTGCATCGATTGATATTCATCGCCGATCACTGTCCATCGCTACGCCTGGAAGCACTGAAAATGGCTATAAACTATGTCATGTCTACATATAATGTAACACTCTACCAGCATTTGCATCGAAAGGTATTTGATACTCAATCTTTGGTTATCAGTCTTTTCTTCTTCATTTGAACGATCAATAAGAACGGTATTGTTGTTGGACTCAATTAGGTTGCACAAACAAATGGTGGCCAATTGCCGGACGTTGCGGCTGCTGCCGTTGCAGCTGGTGGTAGTATGCAGTCAACTTCACAGGACATACCGGCATTTGATCCGTCGTGGATTGAAGCGCGGGCCAAAAAAGGTGCACACAAACTAGAAAAATTGGACAATGATTTGAAGAATTACCGAATGAACTCGATCAAAGAGAGCATTCGCCGTGGTCATGACGATTTAGGTGATCACTATTTGAATTGTGGTGATTTATCAAATGCACTCAAATGTTACTCTCGCGCCCGTGACTATTGCACCAGCGGCAAACATGTGGTCAACATGTGCCTGAATGTAATCAAAGTGTCGATTTACTTGCAAAATTGGTCGCACGTTCAGAGCTACGTGTCAAAAGCTGAAAGTACACCGGACTTTTCAGAAGGTAATATTTCGATTGCGGTACAAAATTCAAACGATTTTCAACATTTTTTTTCTTTCTTGTTTTTGTACATTTTTCAATTTAGATGCGAATCTGTCTATTGTGACCCGTCTCAAATGCGCCGCTGGCTTAGCATATTTGGCCAAGAAGAATTACAAAAATGCGGCCAAATCATTTTTACAGGCTAACTTCGATCACTGCGATTTTCCCGAAATTATTTCGCCAAACAATGTGGCGATGTACGGTGGTTTGTGTGCCCTAGCCACATACGATCGCCAAGAGGTGCAAAAGAACGTGATATCAAGCAGTTCATTCAAATTGTTCTTGGAATTGGAGCCACAATTGCGCGACATTATCTTCAAGTTTTACGAATCGAAGTATGCATCGTGCCTAAAACTACTTGACGAAATCAAGGACAATCTCATGCTGGATATGTATTTGGCACCGCACATCTCCGGATTGTACACACAAATTCGCAATCGTGCGCTCATCCAATACTTTAGCCCATATTTGTCGGCTGACATGGTTAAAATGGCATCGGCCTTCAATCGTAGCGTGCCCGAATTGGAAAACGAAGTTATGCAATTGATTCTGGAGGGGCAAATTCAAGCTCGCATCGATTCGCACAACAAAATCTTACACGCCAAAGACACAGATCAACGCAGTTGCACCTTCGAAAAGGCCATATCGGTGGCTAAGAAATACCGTCGACGCACCAAAATGTTGATTCTTCGCGCTGCCGTGCTAAAAAATCAAATTCATGTCAAGGTAATAAAACAACGTTTGCTTGGCTACCATTTGAAAATCGTGTACGGATTGAACTCTTTGTTTCGAAATGTTTCAAATTTTTTCTTCTTTCAAATTTTTCAGAATCAACCACGTGAAAATGTCGGAGGCGGACAGAACAGCGGCAACAATCATACTACCGAATTGTGCGCAGCAACGGGTTCCGGATCACAAAATCAATTCCGCAATTAGAAACAAAAACATTGCGTCACTAATTTGCAGATGGGCAATCCAATCCGTTGCCAATCCATCAAAAATGAAACGATGAGGAAAAAAAAATTTAGCCGATAAACCAATTTACAATGTCATTTGACACAGAAATCCAATCTAATGTGAAACATTGATTTGATTATTTAAAAAAAAAAAACAAAATAATTTCTGTAACAAAAACCAATTAAATTGCCACGAAGCATTTCAAATAAAATAAAAACAAAAAACAGAAAGAAATCATAACAATAATGAAAAATAAACGAAAATGTCAGTACAGAATAATAAAAAAAACAAATGAATCTAAAAGCTATGAAAGCTGGAGAAAGGATTAATTATGAGAATTTATTGAGAGAAAAAAAATGTCTAAATGCACTGCACGAAAGAAGCACACCTACATGCTATATGCCTGTTATTGTGACATTCGAAACGTGAAACAGCAAATTTATGGCGTTAAAAATTTGGTAAATTTTATTTTTGTTTCTCTTCTAATTCATTTATTTTTTACATCGTCCAACGCATGTCGATCATCATCAAAATTAACATTACTTCCACTAGAGCTACTATTACTAAAACTATTTTCGGATGGCGCTTGGCCAAACAAGAATGAATGCTTGTTAAACATATCCAATATCGGATGATCCGGTTTATTTGATTCGGTATCATAATTGGGTCCGACACTCCACAGCATTTCCAAATCATATTGTTTGCGTACTTTTGCCGAGAATATGTGTAACGCAATATTTCCCAAATCCATTGCAAGCCATTCGTCACTGTTTTTGCCTTCGATTTTTGGTATTTTATCGCCTTTGCCCCTCTTGACTTTAAACATTTTCCGTACAAATTCGGCTATTGCTTTCATGTGTCGGTGACTGCGCGCCGTTATGACCACCATATAATCAACGTATTTTAATTCTTTTGGTACGGTGCATACAAATATATTCTCAGCATTATCACGTCTTAATACAGTTATCAGGTCTTCAATATCAAATACGCCGGTCTTTCCACCTAAAAAATAAACATGATTAATGCTATGACGATTGATTCATTGTAAATACGTTGAACACTCACGTTCTATATTCAGTCCTGCAAAAGGATTGGGTGCAGCATCTTCGATCTCTTCAATTTCCAATTCACCCGCGAGCATTTTGTCACGTTCTTCTTCGACATCTAAAATGACTGCCGCCTTTTGCTCGTCGAACAGTTCGTATCTGGAAGCAATGTTCGGCGCGACTTTTGATGCATCCTCATCCTTTGGATTTGAATCATCGTCTTTTGACCGGCAACAGACACCATTATGGAAACAGGTGCTCACAATTTGCTCTGGTCCGAATGACCATTTAGCCGGATAACTGGTTAATATTGTTCGGTATTGCGCCGATAGTCGTCGGCCGAATTTCACAATTTTCAGCATTGTGTGTATGCCGTAATCGTTTTTTCAAAACAATCAAAACAAAACCGAAACCACATTTTTAGGTTATTTTTCCGTTTGAAGTTTTATTATCATCAGTTTCGTATCACATGTTATTGCTTGTCAACGACTAATCGTCCAAAAGTCAAAGGTTCGTTTTGTAGGGAATTTCGCAGAAATGATTGACGAATCATTATGATTCAAATATCACACCATCCAAGAATATAATATTTCCGCAGAAATCCATGAGTAACTCATTCAATTGAATAATTTAATCAACATAGAAAGGCAAAATCATTAATCAATTATCGTATTTTCTACACTGGGTGAACATACTCACATCAGACACTGAACAGTTGAACACACCCTACATTCATTATTCACATTTCAGTGTGTTGAATCATTGACAGTAGTATAGTATATGCATTTGCCTTTGTATCGGTGCCAACCGAGCTGTATTCCAATAATCTCGATATACGGAAAAGCGTCGGACAAAGTATAAGTTCTCTGTGGAAGAAAAAACGACGTCGGGTTAAGCGAGAAAAAAAGGCGACAAATATCGAAATTGAAACTATGCAAATTTGATCATAGACAACCGTGTGTGAAAATTGACTAATGAATAGAATTGAAAAAACGAAAATAGTTCCCGGATTTTATTTTAAATACAAATTTGATTCAATATTTATCGTAGGAACTTAAAACATACAAAAAAAAAAGTTCAATTGTATACTCACACAGAGATACATACGATAAATAAGTGCATAAGACCGAAGTGTAAAACAACATTACAGAAAAAGAGCAAAATACAGAACAAAAAACACAGCAACACAAAAAACAAAAATGGGTGCGAGTAGAATTGAGAAAGAATACACCGAAATAAATTCGAAAAATGGTTGGCAGACTGAATTTCAGGTGAATTTGGATTTACTAGATAAACTCAAAAAAAGACAGAAAAAAAACACGTAAATTTTTCATAGAACGTTTCAAAGAAGCGCACAGCGGCACAACGAGCAGGAGAGACAGAGAGAGAGAGAGAGAAAGAAATTTCAATTGAAATCCAATTTATTTTTCTTGCGTGGACCATTTTGACTCGGACAACGCATCGTAGAAATACAGCACCATATCCCCATATTGGGTCGGGATAGTCAATTGCAAAACGGTTCTATTATTAATGTTAGCGAGCAAATATTGTGTTGGTTGAATGCAAATGCAAAAAAGGCCGATGGGGATTGATTTAAAAAGAATCAATGGGTTTCCATTGAATTGTTTGAGTGCAACATTGTTCTGAATTCTTTGTAATTGCTTCCAGTACTTGGTTTAATCCATAAGTTATGGATCGGTTTAGTTCACCTTCGTATTACTTCCCGTGAAATGTGCCAGCCAGATATAGTTTGCATCGGTGCTTTGACTTTGATTCTTTTTTTGTATGCTACACACATCGTGCATTTATCAAATCCCGATTCCGATTCAGTAATTACACATAGCCAATCAAATGAGTGTGTGATGCATTTGTATGAAGTCCAAGCTACAAGAGAGAGAGAGAGAGAGAGAGAGAGAGAAGAATAAAAAAACAGAGCCTACACTCGCACTCACTCAGCCGAAAATATGTGAAAACTGGAACAACTTTATTTATTTTTCGCAGCAAATTCAATGATTGTTCTGTTCTTTTCGCACATATCCGAGCGAACAACGACCATAGTAGTAGCAGCAGCAGCAGCGGTGGTGGTGGCGTTGCCACCAACAATAGCAACAGCAAAGAAAACATAAAAATGCGTTAATGTGTGGTTATCGTTTTTCGCAGAATTCCAATTCTTGCCTTCGAGCCATACTTTTTTTTTACTTTTTCTTCTTACGCGCACAAGCAATTCCACCTGTACGTATGATATCCACCGCTGAACATGCATTTTATTACAAACGACAACAGAGAGAAGAGGAGAGAGAGAAAAAAACGAACAAATTAAACGAGAAATAACCAATTATTGTTTTCAATTCCTTTGATTAGTTTCTTTGAATAATGTTTTGTCGTGTCTGGTGACGCAATATATATTATCATGATTTTTTTGTTATTGATCTCGCTGTTGCTCTGTTTCACTCGTTCTTCACCGCTTGCAAAGATCAAATACAATTCCATTAATTTTTCTGGAGCTTAGAAAAATGAAACGAAAGAGAAGTAAAGGCAAAACTTATGTATGTATACACAGAGAATGTGTGTGTTGGTGTGACAGGGAGAGAGAGAGAGAGAGAGATAGAGACGAAGAATGAACGACAGACTCAGAACGTACAAATCGTGTGTACGTTTTTATATATATATGTATATTATTCGGATGATGTGGGTTTTATGTGTACATCGGTAATTGTGCTGCTTGGCTGCCGAAGATTGTATTGCAATTCTTTAAATCAAATGCGTACTCCAATCCGATGCTATGTAAACTACTACTGTATTTACAGATGGAGATATTATAAAATGCCATTGAATCAATGACTTGGAACCAATTATTCCATCGTTGACGACGAGCGAGCGAGCGAAAGAGAAAGAGATCCAACGCAATGTGAAATTCAATTGAAGTGTCATGACATATTCATACATATGGCCAGTGTATTGTGTCACAAACACAACGCGGTGAACGGCTCTTTTTTTTTCTTTTCTACTTCGACTACTTCTTTTTCCTTTTTATATTTCTGCGGAAAATGTGTATGTGTGTGTATAGTGAAACGATATGATGGAGTCATATCGATATGGTGGTGAGGCAATTCGCTTGATTTTATTTTACATACGTGTATGTAGATTTGAATAAAATGCTATTTCTCACGAAACTAGCCGACAATAACGACGACGACGACGATAATGATGACGACTCAATACATACAGGACACGATATTTACACGGCATGACGCTCCGGAACATGAGCAATCCTGTAGTTTGTCGAATTGTATACATTATTTCGTTTTTCCAAAGAATGTGAAGAACGAACGAAAATTGCACCCATATGCGATGGGCTTTGCTTTATACATACATCTCGCACATGTGAGTCGTCGCTTGGTCAATGTTTGTTCATTTCTCAGTTTTTTTTTCCTCTACGTCCTCTTTTTCTTCTTCTTCTTTGCGTTCCCTTTTATTTCGTCGTATTCTCCGGATTTGGATGCGTGTGTGTTTGGCTGACTGGCTAGCTTGTATTCGTTGTACACATTGTGTGAACACTGAACATGCATGCTCGTTTTTGTTGTTGTTCTTGTGAAGAGACTTTTTTTCCGATTAGTACACATTTTACTTTTTTCTTTTTATTTCGTCGAATTCCCAGTATTGAAAAATCAGAGAGAACAGTTATATCACCATGTCGAAGCGATATAGAGTGAGTAAGACGTAACAAGAACTCAAGAGCTCAATACATGGCAAAGGAAAGAAGAAGAAGAAGAAAAAAAAATTGAAGAAAAAAGCAACACAACAATGCGATTCAACACAAGGTTATACCCGTACCAAGAAGTACCTTCCTTTCTTGGGATCATACTATCGATAGAACGCTCTTCTGATCATGTGCTTTCTTCGGTGCGCTTCTCCTAGCATAGATAACACGAGAGAGGAACAAAAACTTATGAAAGAAGCCAAAACATAGACGTACACACGCATAAAACATAGGGAAAATATCTGAAGGTTATATATATATATATATGTGTGTGTGTGTGTGTTTGTTGATGATGGCGGAAAATAAGTCTCAACCAATTGACTGTTGACGAAGACCGTCTCTATGTTTACGCTTCTTTCCAAACAAACAAAAAATTTGCTTGACCAAAAATACTGTCAACTGAATTTGTTTGTCTTTCGCTTCTGAACCATATGTTTATTCTTTTTTTTTCAGTCTATCAAGGAAAAATCCGAGCAACAAGCGTCCGAGAAAAAGTTCACGTTGAATGAGTGCAACAAACCGAACAATCGGCGATTAAATCGATATCAAGATGTGAGCCCATATGATCATTCCCGCATCATATTGCGCCGTGGCAATATCGACTATATCAATGCCAATCTAGTGACGATGGAAAAAGCCAATCGAAAGTATATACTAACACAGGGCCCATTACCAAATACGGTTGACCATTTTTGGCTCATGGTTTGGGAACAGAATTGTGCTGCCATTCTCATGCTGAACAAAGTGATTGAAAAGCGACAAGTGAAATGCCATCAGTATTGGCCAGACCGGATCGGACCGGAGCACACAATGGCATTAAACAATGTTGGCCTAACGGTAGAATATTTAAAATGCGAAAACTATACAAACTTTTCGAAGCGAACATTTCGTCTGACCGACACGGAATCATCGAAATCACGCGAAGTAATCCAGTTCCACTATACCACCTGGCCAGATTTCTACGTTCCTAGCTCTCCGGTGGCCTTTTTGCAATTTTTGAAAAAGGTACGAGACTCAGGCGCATTGAATTCCGACGTTGGACCAGCGGTTGTACACTGTAGCGCCGGCATCGGACGATCCGGAACGTTTTGTTTAGTCGATAGTTGCTTAGTGCTGGTGGAAAAAGAGGGGGAAAACAAGATAAGTGTTCTTGATTTGTTGCTTGAACTACGACAATCGCGAATGGGCTTAATACAAACAGCGGACCAATTATATTTTTCATATCAAGCAATCATTGAGGGAATCAAGCATTTCAACGATCCGGTGAGTTTTTCTCGTTATGTTTTTCTGGTCTTTTTGAACGCATCTTGCGTTAAGCCTAAACCTAATTGTATTCATTTTCAACAGACCTTCGGGGACTATGACGAAGTTCCAAAAATTGACAACGAAGACAATAGTACTGAAACGGATCCGCCTAGACCACCGCCACGGCTAGCATCAATATTACAGTCACAACATGTAATGAACCAATCGAATTCTACTCAAATTCACATATGGACTAATAAATATCTTCTTTCGTTCAATAGAAACCACTGCCAACTGTACCAACAAATGATAACGACCATGTATCGGTTAATAATAATAATTCGGAGAATGGTGATGGAACGCGATCTGAACGCCCGTTGCCACCATT